CAGTCCCTGGATACAGTGTTGATTCTGTGTTTAATCATAAATTATCCCCTAAAGATGTTTAATTGAACTTAAACAGGCGTGAGAATGACTCATTCCCTGTTGGAAAACAAATCACTTTGTCATCTGTGGAGGAGTGGTGCTCTTCCTTGTGCTTTGTGAATTGTCCTCCTGGCTGGGCCAAGAGCTGGGCAGGCTGGAGCTCTCCCTGAGCAGTGACACAACACCCTCCTTGGTGACAATATGGAACTGAGAATGGACAAATGAGCCAGGGCTCCAACTTCAGACAAATCTGAAGGTCATTAGCGATTCCCAGACACAGAGTTGTCTTGAAAGAGGAGAAATCATATGGAAAGCAGAAAGCTGCAGGTACCAAAGCTTTCAGGTGCTCAGGGCTGTGGTGGCCCTGACAGTGGAGTTGGCTGGGCAGCACTGCAGAGAGCTGATTTGCACTGGAGGTTTACAGATACATCCACATGCAGTTTAGTCTGGATTGAACTTAATGTGAGAATACTGGAATCTGTATTTCGGGTTTTAAATATTTTACATTTTAATAGATTTTAAGTGAATATGTTAGTGCACGTAAAATGCAGAATTGCCTCTCAAGAGCTGCTTTTTCATTATTAGCCAGGAGTTTATACTGGGCCATGCAATTAACAAGGAAGTTCTCTCTTAGCTGCCTATCATTGCAATCCTAGGGAATGAGCTTCTTTGTGTTTTCCAAATACACAATATCTGAACAAAGTCGAGTGTAAGTATAGTGTAATAGGGCATTTTAAAAAAGCAAGTTTTAATTTATTTTTCAAATTCTAAGGTGTAACTTATTTCCTAGTTTAGAAAGCATATAATAAAATGCGTTTTGTGTTAATATTTTAAAATAATTCATTATTTAAAAACATTTTTATTGCTGAATATGTTGTTGCCAGAACTTCTATCAGTGACAGGATAACTTAGAGATGTGAGAGACTGAAACTGCAAAGGAATAGGGGTGACAAAAGCTAAAGGTAAAGCATCAATTTCTATTCATTCTTCCTTTTAAATGGAGGAAAGGTGTTCTGCATTTGTAAGGATTACATTATTGCTTTTCAGACATGATTCAAAGATGGGTATTGAAAGAGGGATGGTATAAAACATCGTTATGTCATTAGGAATTCTAGTTCCATTCAAATAAGAAATGTTCTATTTATGATCCTTAAAGAGAGCCCTCAGGTCATGAACAGTATTTCCATTTGTTGAGAAAAATGTCAGAATAGTTTCCTGAAAGTCTGTACAAAATGAATATTCCTTTTGAACCCTTTATTCATTCAATTTCTCGGCATATTTAAAAAAAAATCATTGAAGAATTAATAAAAGCTGTGTGTAAACTTCATAAACTCCCTCTGTGAAATTCCAATGTTTTTTAGAGTATTCACGGCTTAGTTTCTGAGTGAAATAACTGTTGATTTCAGTGGGCCTGAACTTGTTAGTCGAATACACCAAAAGGAGGACCCACTTTTCCTTTGATTTTCTTTAGGGTACATGAAAAATTAATTCAGAGACCTTCATGGCATTACTGTGTATAGGTCAGGGAAGGAAATGGGGGACAGATTTTTTGCTGTCATATATGGGGAATAGTTTTTTTTAAGAGAAAAGGATTTTGGTTTCTACATTTGAGTGATATTAGAATATTTTTGCTAAGCTTGCTGAGCACTTAAACTTCTAAAACTTCACATATGTGAGGTTATTTTCTTTAGAAAGAAAACACATCCTATAAACAGGGACATAAACCTAGACGTGAAAAGCTTTTTGCATCTACTGCTGTGTTTGCACTTCTGTGAGTACACAGCACCTTTGCAATGGGGAAAAAGGATCCATGCTGCAATATATGTGTCAGCAATGACAGCATTGCTGTGCTGCACAGCAACACATTTGTCTTTTGAGTTCTGAATACCATTTATAAAATTCACTAGCATCTCTTGATCTTTGTAGAAGGCTGGTTTGGTTCTGGGCTAACTCTGGTAGGAGCAGAGATGCTCTGAGCTGTATCACCTCTGGACATGAAGTGGTGGGTCACTGTGATATGGAGCTGTACTCAGTGGCTTCACTCTCTCATGTCAGCAGCTGCAATACAGAGATCTGTGGGAAGGACAGCCGTTATTCCCAAATTGTTATCAATTTTTTTTCCATTACACCCTAACATATCAGTGTATTAAAGAGAAACCTGAATATTTGATTTTTTTTCCCCATGAAGCCAGGAAATTGCAAGCTGATTTTTTTGTTAAAGCAGCGTGATTCATACTTTCCTTGAAGAATTCCAGTTAATCTTACTTCTTCTGCTAAATGCTGAAATAAAAGCTTTAGTGCATGCCAACTGTTGAATTCCCTATTTCCCTATTTCTTGGCTAAGCTGTGTATATTCACTTACTGATAGCAAATTTTCTGTTTTCTGTGGTTGCAAAGTTTACCACAAGTAGCCTGGCATCCTTCCTGTGAAGAACAGGAGCCAGTCCCCTTCTCAAAAGCATTTGGCTGTTTCCTCTCCTCCTGTAGTAAATGCTGTATGCAGCTGTAATGCAGCTGTTCTGAGTGCAGCAGGGAACACAGGCACAACCTGCTTCAATGCACAGCCCACATCTGTCCTTGGAAGAATTCAAAGTGACAGGAAGCATGCTGAGGCCATATGTCAGCAAAACAGAGTTCAGAGCAGGCTGCACTGTAAGCACAGGTTTAATTTCTAGCACAGTTTTGGAGACAGTTGTGTCTGGATCATTAAGAGCAAAAGTTGCTTTCTCTGAATTACCATTATGTATCAGCAGTAGATTTATAACTGAGCCAACTTGGAAATACCTTCCCCAGAAGCTCATGTTTAACTTTCACACAACTATTGGGACTTAACTGCATTTCATTCATTTTTGTGTGTGATTTACCTTTTTATGTATTAAAGAATCAAGAATTTGAAAGTGTTGCTTTTGTTAAAGGCCTTTGCAGCTGTGATTTGTACTGAAGGGACATTTCCTCTGTGAGTGGTCTGGTATCTCCAATATCACTTCTGGGAGACCTGGCAGAGGGACAGTACATTGTCTTTAAAGCACTTCATCAGGTCTTAATCCCTTTTGAGTTTGGGAACACTGAAATGAATTGGCTGTTTGAATGCATTTGACTAAACAATAGCTTAATATGAGAAAGATTGCAACTTTTTGATGTGATTCTTAATCAAGAAAACATAATGTTCCCTTTCTATTTATCTGATTAAAGGAGCAGTATAAATCAAACAGGAAAAGCTGAAATAGTTCATCTCAGTCCTTGGTTGACCTGTATCAGGCAGACGTTAACAGGATGGCACAAAGCAGGTTGCCCAGGGCCTTGTCCAGCCAAGTTTTGAGCAACGTCTCCAGGGAGGGAGACTCCACAACATTTCTGGGCAACCTATTCTGGTTTTTGGGCATCTATGATAAAAAGGTATTTTCTTGTATTCACATGGAGTTTCATGTGCTTTAATTTGAAAGCAAGTTATCAATCAGTTTTGCATGTGAAATTTCCATGTTTTTTGAAAGTGATGCTAGGGTTTGAAGCAATGTGACTTCCTGATGAACTTTTGCTTTCTCTCCATGTTTTCTTTTGGTGTCTCTGCTCTAGCAGCTTACCTGCTAGCACAATGTCCTTTCCTGCTTAAAATTCTCCCATGTATGCTTCAGTTTATGTTCCAAGCTGCATGGATGATAATACCACGTTTGATCGCTCTTCTCTGCATCTGTGTAATTTGATCAGCAGTGCTAGTGAGTGCCTTCTGGGGAGAATTTAATTGATAAAGCCAGATTTGTCTGCTGAAAATGAGGAAAGCATAAGGTGACCTAATGGGAAGCTAAGGCCAAAATATGAACTTCTGGGGAGAAGGCACAGAAAAGCTGCAGATCTCTGCCTTGCTGTGACTTGATTTGTGAATGTCAGAGCCACCAAATGTATACCATATTCTGCCTCAGAGTCACACATTTAAGTTAACTGGGGTAATTCTAATGTTGTTGGAACTGCTGGGTGCTGTGACCTGGCCCTCAACTGCATTTGTACCTGTGCATTTGCCTGCCTGTTACTGGATACTGGAATCATAGAATCATTAAGGTTGGAAAAGATCTCAAAGTTCATCAAGCTGATGGAACTTGTCAACTCCACCATAGTACTAAGTGCTGATTATCAAGAGTTCACATTGCAGTTGGTGTAAAACCTGTGACATCTTCCCAAATAACATAGTTACAGTCAAGATAGTCCCTGGATAGTTGTTAATACTTAGCTAAAATTAGCAAAATATTTTATATTCTGAGAAATTTGCTTGCCATTTGTGACGTGTTTGGCTCTGGCCAGTATGTTCTGTTCATATCCTGTGCTATTTTTAGTAATGGTGATTGTCCTTCAACCCACTTCTTTTGCAAAACAGAATGATACGTCTTTTTATTGGTATGTGTTACTTTCACACGTGGGTTCAGTTTCACCAGTGATGAAAACCAGATGGATCAGTCATGTGTGAGGAATAGTTCAATCTGAATGCTTCTGGGCTAATTGGAGGGGGCTAGTGGATGTGTGCCTTTTTTTCTCTTATACATGCAAGTGAAAGTGTAATTTTAAATTGGACCCTGCCTTCCTATTTCCTTCCACTGAAAAGGGACAAAAAGGCAGAACATGTAGTTTTTTACAGGTCTTGAATTTGATGATTTTCTTTAGAGAAGCATTTTCTGTAAAATGCATTTCTGGGGCTGTGTTGAGTGGATTAGCTAAGGACCTGCCAGAAATAGGGTTAATTCCAGGATTATATAAGGTGACCTTTACTGTAGGTAAATCTTGTGCTCCTTTTTCAACCCCCCAACTATGTCAGTTGCCTTAATAAAAATGTTATAATTGTATTGAATTTCTAAAATTTCTCTTGAAAAGTTTGTAGTTCTAGTGACCCGCAATGGACTAAGAATATGACTAAGAATACTAAGTATAGAGAAATAAAAATGTAATTTTTAGAGAAGAAAAAAAGGGAAGGCATCTTTGGATAAAGCCTTGTTTAATAGTTTTTAGAACTCCATTCTAATACAAGTTATTCTGATACAAGTGCTTGTATTCTAATACAAGTGCTCAAGGACATAGTTGGCAATATATTTCACAGCAAGTAAAGTCTCTTCACAGGTTGGCTTTATCTGAGATTCAGGGAGAAGGAAACCGTACCTCCCGGTGTCCCGGAGCTCGAAAGTGAAGGAGTACTTGATGCCTTGGTTGTAAGCCCAGTCATCAGAGCCCCCTGCAGCAGGGTCTGTTGGGAAAGAAATTAAATAAAGCTTAACTGGGAAAGAGTGGCTACACATCAAATGAGAAATACTTTGGAGTCAAGTCACATGGCCAGGAATGCAGAAAGGACAGATAAAAAGAAATATTCTGTGAATTGATTGATTTATCCTGCTCATGGGAAAGCTGCTGTGATTTTAGGCCATTTATGAGCTTTGCTCCAGCTGATTTGTGCAAGCAAATGTCAACAAGCTAAAGTGCTCCCTCCTTGTCACTACTGTGGGGAAACCATGTGAGAAATGTCTAAGGAACTGGAGAATGGTGTGGCTAAATGAGGATGTTTAGAAACACTTGGTATCAGAAGCAAATACCCTCTCACAAGGTGGCTTTTTGAGGTTCATAGAGATGGGAAAGAGCTGCATATCTGGGATTTCAGCTCCACCTTTTTCTGCTGGACAAATAGTACCTTCCCTGTTCAGTAGCTGGTACAATAAAAACAGTCTCTCTTGCTAAGGAAGGAGCCTCCAGAATTGCCAAGTATCACTAATACATTTCTAAAGGAAGAATCTCCAAAAATATTGTAAAAATTGGAAGAAACTGTTTTTTAAAATGTTTTGTCTTTTAAAACTATTTGTGGAAGGAAAAACAGGCAAGAGAAATAAGCTTCCCTATTTACTTTAGGACGTTTTAAATATGGGAGATATTAAAGTTCTATAAATCTAGATTTGGCAACCCCAACTTGGCTTTTGGCACTGCAAAGGCCATATCCACAGCTGAGTTCCCAAGAAGGGTAGAATAATTAGTCATTACAAATTACAAATAGGATTGTAATTAGTATGTGCCTCAGAATGCAATGCAAAATAAAATTGGTGTTGCTAGACTGGTTGAAGGATTCACATCACACAGTGGAATCAAAGGATTCACATCATCTTTGACTTGGAGATACTGGAAATGCAGAAAATCTCAGTCCAAGGTTTTTATGTTTAAATCTAAGCTATGTATGATTTGGGAATTCATGCTATGCACATGAATTCATAAACATTTTACTACATCACTTGACTTTCCAGGGGGTCACACACTTCCTGGGATCCCTAAGGAACGAATGATCCCATAATTTAGAAATGACAGGTCCCATATATACCTCTTAGCATATGCATGTGAAGAAAGAAGGGGACTACTTAGAAAGAGGAATAAGAATCACTAGAAAATTGCATTTTATAGTCCTAGTACCACTTAATATAGAATGTCAGTGTATTTAGGTCAATACTTACAGATTGTTGTTGCTCCTGGACCATATGTATATTTAGTGTTGTACAAACTGGCCAGCTTTTTGGAAGCAGCACTAGCTATGGAATTCTGTAAGAAAAGAAGAACAATAAATGCAGATTTTCAGAAGTTTTCTAAGTGAATTTAAGCAATTACGCTGTTGTATAAACTGAAAAGCCATGCTGGAGAAGCTTTTATTTGAAAACTGTTGTTGACCTCTCAGCATGACTAGGTGTCAGTGGCTGACAAAGCCCAGCTTGTCCTGGTGTTGTGGAGAGAGTTTGTCAGTAAAGAACTTGTTCTCAAAGGTTTAATGGAGTGTGCTCCAGTCTGTGTATGGTCTGTTGCAGCCTGGTGTGCAGTCCAGGAGGGGTTGGACAGATAAGGGGACAAGAGGTAGCAGCACTTTCTAGACTTAGAAGAACCTTGTACACGGTTAAAACTAAATAAAGAACCTTACTTAGAGATAAGAGAATCTAGGGAATGGTAATAATGTGGCACAGTAAATTGAAAACATACAATAGCCTTTCTTTTCCTTCTGTTCATGCAACTATAAATTCAGAGTAGAGTCAGCTCAGTAAGGGGAGCTGAACATTGAACTTGATACAAGTGGAAGCAGATTAAGGTCTTATAAATATTAACAGCCAAAAAAGGTATAAATTACCCTGAAACCATATGTAGTCTCATTAATTTAAATTCATTTCCTGTGCACAGAGGGACTCATTCAACTCCCACTGATTCAGTGAGGGTTGGATCAGGCCCATCAATAGTACTATGAAGCTTTGTATGTTTGCATTTAGGAAAATTACAGACTTTTCTTTGGAACGTGTGGCTTTTCCAATTCTTCATTATACAACATGTTGGTAATAAAACATGAAAACTATTACTAACAGATGATAAATATGAATGATTTTTGAAAGCATATGTTCAATATAAGAATAAGCAATGGGTTATCATATATTTCTTTATAGCTTGCAGCCGAATGGCTGACTATTCCAGGAATTTCCTCAAGCCCTTTCCTTCTCTGTAGGTTACACTCTGGCTTACTTCCCAGTGGAAGATATTATTGTAAAATATTCTCTATTCATCCTTATGCTTCAAGTGTTCTTCTAAATTACTCAAAAAGATATATTGGACAATGTATTTAGAAAATTTTAGTAAACTGAGAGAACTTTCTCAGCTTCTAAAAAACAACATCACAACATGTTTGTATTACTGTGGCAGCCTACTCTCTATCAGAATTGTGAGTGTTTCCCCATTCCCAAATATCTGGTTTTGAACATTTTAGAATTATGAAAGTTTGCTCTAGGAATTTGTGGTCCTTTAGCATATGAAGGTTATTTAAACAAGGCAGACCAAAGCATACTTGAAGCTTGTCTTTCCACCTATATAATTGACTGTGCCTGAATGTAGGGTTTGGTTTCTGGCCTCTCTATTGCACAAAGACAAGCAATTGCAAAGAAGAATGTTGTTGCTCTGCATTTCACAATCTTGGATCCAGAGTAATTGGAGTAGCTGAGCTCTCTCCTGTGGTCTTCTCTTTGTTTGGTTTGGTTTGGTTTTTTCCTTTCTTTTTAAATCCCTCAACAAATTGATTTTTCTAAAATCCAATATTTTTAACACGTGTTGAGGGAATTGTAGAGGTTGGAGTCTGCTGTTAGCAATGCTATGTTTTCTTCAGCCATCTGTTGTTTATAATATACATGTTTAATTAGCAGCTGAAATTGAGTCAAATCTTCTCTCAATGAAAAATGCATTTTTAAATGTAAACCGATTCTTCCTCTCTTCAAATATATGTAAAGTGGAAATAAAATTTGGAAAGTTTGTCAGGTACGATATGCAGACCTCTTGGTAACTGGTATTTGCTCTCTTTAGTTAACTGAAGTAGGAACAATAGAACAGCAGAGCTGCTTTGTGGGGCTGTTTGACCCAGGGCGTTTGTTCCACCCCGTGGACAAATGACAGCTTTAAATCATACCAGAACAGATACCGGAAAAAGTATGTCAGGAAATCTTTCTACCTGAGGGATTTGCTTATTGTTGGTCAGGAAGTTGTAAAAAGAGAGATTTGTAGAAAGAACAGTCAAGATTTCCAGCTGTTTAGAGCCTAGAATCCAAATGAATAGCTTCCTCAAGCTCTCCAGGCTGGAGATAACGATGGTGTTTCAAACGACCCTCTCTAAGTGAAAAACATGCCTAAACATTTATGACTTCTTCATGAAATTAAACTTTATCAGATGTTTTGGTATCTTTTTGTTTTCCTTTAAGTGATTCTCTAACATTTACATGCCTAATAGATTTACAGTCCAAAACCTAGCGGTAGAAAAATAAATTTCAACTTTATAGTAACTAATGTCATTTCTTAATAATATTATATAAATCAGCAGGAATAATATGTATTAAGTAAATACTTTTGAGTATAAATACAAAATATGAGGAAAATTTAGTTTCTTTTTCAAAATAGCTCAGTTTCTCAAAGCAATCCATAAGAAGGAAATAATAGGGAGGTCTATACAGAGGTGTATAAATGATGTCCAAAGTTTTCCAAAAGTGAAAAGTAGTTTGGGTTTTCAAGCCTGTAAATTATTTAGAATACACCTGCAAGGAAAAACGTTGTTTTTCTTTTGATCTTTGAGGATACTCTTTGTTGCTCAATGATTTTCTACATCTCTTGACATAATAGGTTTAACTGAATTGTGGTTTGTTTGGAGTTTGTTTCTTTGGGGTTTTATACTGTTAAGAATCCTTCCTTTGCAAGGAAAATTTTGCTGAGATTTATAGTAGCAGAGAAATAAGTGGCGCCCTGCAGTCGAAGAAATAAGTCCAGAGTAATACCTTGTAACTGGGAGCAGAAATGGCTTTTCAGCTCCTGACTCCCAGCTGGGCTCTCAGAGCTGGTCATTTCAGCAGAAGGCAGAATTTCCTGTGCTCATCACCCATCTGTGTTTACACTGCAATTACCAATATTTCACTTGATCTTGTGTACAGAGTGCATGAGCCAGGGACACAGCAGAGTTGTGTTCTCAGTTGTCATTATCTTACATAATTAACAACTTTCAAACCTAGGTTTTTTCAGTTATTAGCTTTTAATGAAAGATGTGGTACTGGCATCTCTTTTCTCACCACATTGGAAGTTTGAACTAACAAGATAAATTATCAGGCTAAGCATATTTTGTATGTTAATAGGTAATTTTAATGGGAGCATCTCTCTCATTTTACTCTTGTATCATCAGAGTGGATTTGCCAGCAAACTGTGACCATTTAGAAACACTCCACAGATGCTGATATGCAGCTGCTGTTTGTGGACAACTCCCCTCTCAATCTGAGAGTGGTCTGGAGAAGCCTTTCCACTGCTTGACTGGACCCTTTGCTTTCTTCCCTCACTGGACTACAAACTGATTTGTCCAAGGCTGAAAACTGTATTTTCCCTTTACATCAGTCTTGCTTGCTTTACTTGTTAAGTAAAGGGACCCTCAACTTCCTTTGTAATGAAAGTCTGAAAATGTGGACTTGCTAAGCTAGCTTTAGCCAAGTGAATTGAAACTTTTGAGCCTTCTTGTTTTGCCAGTAAAAAAAGACTCTCCCCTCAAGGGTCCATGATGATGTGTAATTTAGTTCACTCTTCTGTTCTTGCTCATATGCTCCAACAGCCCAGAGAATCCAGCCAGTGAGGACTTCAGTGGAATGATTCTTTTTCTTTACAAGCCTTTTTTTTCTGTGACAGTTTCTACAGTGCTTAAGAAATCAGTCTCTGGTGAGGGAGTTTCCACTGCAACTCATTTGGGCCCTACACCTGTTGGGGACTCTATCAGCCAGACTCACACATGAACTTCATCTGGAAGATGCTGCTACTAAACACATCCTTCTCATAATTTTAAGACTGACAGTACAGAACAGTTCTGTTGTGGTAAACTCAGTGGAGTTTACCAGTGGAGGAGCTGTGAGGCCAATTTCAAATACTGCTTTACTGCCCACTTTCCTGTTTATTGTGCTTCCCAATTGACTTTAACAATATTTAATGTAACAAGTAGTACAATCACAGTAATGTAATCTGTGCAATAGCACAGATACAACAGCAGCAGATTGCAGCTCCTCATTGGCTTGTCTGAGTCTTGTAGATGTAGGATTTTTGCTATCCAACAATTATTACCCACAGATCTTTATATGTCTTAAGCATATTCAGGACTTCACAACCAGGCACTAAATTAAATAATCAGACTGATATTCACAGTCATGCTATATATTTGAAATTCACTCTTGAAGACTGTACAGACTCTGTACAGCTTATCTCCACTTTCTAATATGTCCTCTTTTAAGCATCAAGAGGAAGTGAAATGATAGACTGGCCCCATATGAAAGGTTAATTTTGGCGAGTTGAAACAACAACCCATGCAGCCAGTATGCATACAAGTTATAGAGACTGGAAGTATCTTGGATTGTAAATGAATGTAATATTCTGCAGCCTGTGAAACTGTAATATACCTACATTAATCTGATGAGTGAGTATGAGCTGCACACATGTATTTGGTGCTGAATTTAACTGAGAGATGGAATTGGAATGGAAAGGAAGGACACGATGCACATGCCTCTGCTCTCTCGAACTACAGTTCAGAGCCAATTCAAATACAAACAACTGATAAAGCTAGATTTGTCTGCTGAAAATTAGAATAGCATAGGGTGACCTAATGGGAAGCTAAGGCAAATATATGAAGAGATTGAAAAATATGGGCTGAATTGTTTATGAAAAGTCTGATTAAATACATGGTTCTTTATTACAAGAGGACAAAAATGTCAATAGTAAAATAAAGATGAAAATAGTCTTTTTGGGGTGTGGAGAGATACTGGTCTTGCCAAACATGTTTTGCTATTGTGCAAAGCTAATGCTTCTGTTCCCTGTAGGAGAGGGATTCAAGTGTGTTTTCTGTGTTCAGGGCATTATGCCAGGGTATAGTAAAGAATGAGCCAAGAGGATTGTGAAGCAGACAAAATGCGATTCTCCAAAAGGATGACATATTTCTTTAAGGATGTCATCACAAGGATATTGTGTAACTTCTGAGAAATTCCTGACCTAGATTTTCCTGTCTTGGGTGTTTTTATTTTTGTTGTTTGGATAACAGTGAAAGTTTTGTGGAACTCCTAGGTTGGGGAGACAAAACAACAACCCTGAATAAAGGGAGACAAATTTGGGGAAAATACTTGTGAGCTGTGGGATGTATAACCTTACAGCTCCTCTTGCATCTCTGGGAAAGAGGGGGAAGTTGTGGGAAGGAAGGAACATACGTGACTGGTTGAGGGGTAGCTCTAATCCCTGGCTCTAAGTAAGTTACAAAACTTTGATTTGTTTTGATTTGCTGAGCAATGCAGTGGAACATAAAGGGGTTCTCAGAGTGCCCTGCTCTACCTGACAAACCAAAACAGTTTTAGGACTTCTGGTGATGTCTTGAGGCTGTAAACAGAAAGTCTTTCGAGCCCCAAGGACACATTGTTCACTACATGTTTAGGGAAGGAAGGTACAGGCATTCTCTGGACCTTTCTCTTCTGCAGACTAAGTGTCCTTAACTCAGATTACTCGATTTTTGCACCCTTCTGTGTCTTGGACACTGGAATGCAACATAAGGCCCATAGTATTATGTTACCTTTAATTAAATACAATGGAACAAAATGTTATTAATGAGTAGCAGACATGTGAGGTTTTGTTTAAACACATGTCCAGTTACTCACTGAAAGAGATAAGAAATTGCAGCTATATTTCCTTTAATTTATTAGATCTGTCAGGGTAAAAATAACATCTAAGATAAGATAATGGCACTGTAAATTTTGCTTCTTCATTTAAAAATTGATTTATTATTATTTTATTTGCCCAAACAATATCTATTAAAAGTTAAGATTCTCATTCTTCAGCATTTCTCCAAATTCTAAATTTAGACAGAACTTTTAGACATTAAACACAGCAATTGGCATATAAAGTAATTCCTCTTTTTGTAGGTATCTTGCCTCAAGAAAGTACAGTTGTTGATTGAAAATGTTAAATTTTCTTTAGTCACATCTTAAATGAATGTATGTTAGTTATTTGAACTAACCCAAAGACCTGACCCACAGCTTGTGGAAGTCAATTTTCTATTTAATTCACTGACATTGGAGTGCATAAGGTCCTTTCTGTTTAATTACCTCAAGTAGAGGTAATGCTGATTGGGTGGATACTCTGGCCTCATTGTCCAAAAGGACTTTTGGCAACAAGTCTTCCCATGAAAAGTCAGATACTGCACAGGTTGAACACCTCTAGGATCCTGCTGTCTCTGTTGGGATCATCAACAGAAGAAATAATTTCCCTCAATTAAGATGTGAAAAGCACTCATAAGGTCCTCTTGTCATAGTGCTGAGATTTGTGGTTGCTCTGTAGAAGATTATAATGGAACTCCATCTGGTATCAGTGTAAGTGATTTAAAGTATAGGATAAAGAGGTATTGGAAAGACTAATATCCAAAGAGAAATCAAATGGCTGAAGAGGAAATTGTGTCCTATATTCCTGAGCAATTTAGTTTTTACGCTCTGTGGTAACAGCAGAATTGTCTTCTGTGGCTTGAAAGGGGAGTTTAAGTTTTACTGTGTATTAGAACAGTGACAATGTAAAATTTTAATTTAAGAATTTTAAAACTTAGCAAGTCACATAGGTTCTTTCTTACTGCTAAAGATTGTTTTAGTAATGAGTTGTCAATGTACTTTTTCCATTTAATACTGTGAGAAACACACTGCACTTCTAGTTACATTTCATCACATTTGCTCTTCATTCAAAAAAATGGGGGCAGAATTTCATGCAAATTTTTGACAAATAAGAACTTTATGATCTTAACAACAAAGCAGCTTCAAGTGTTTAGTGCTGTTTAATACTTTAGACTGAACTGTAATGTGTGAATTATGAAGCTTTTGTAAAAAATGAAGGCAAGATATTACTACCACTCCCTGGAATAACTTCAGTTACAAAATTCCTGGAATATAAATTAAGAAAACAAAATATTCATTTTAATTTAACCTTCTCTTTTAGGCTGCAAAATAATCTAACAAGAAACTTCACTCTTGGCCCCAGTTTGTATTTGTGTTCAGAACCAAGATATGTATTTGGGAGCACTCATAAATCTGTCAAACCTGCCCAGCAGAGAAACACACATTGTTGTTTGCCTTGGACTTTTGGCAGCATCGAAGAAAGAGGGGGGATGAAAATGTGTTTGTTTTGTCTTGCTGTGTTGTTTTCCCTGCCAACAGATTCTAATTGCTAATATGCCAGAGAGCTGAAGTCATTTTATTATTCATGATTGTTGATTCTTGGCCTATGAAATGCTTAAAGCTTTTATACACATTTTATAGTTCTAAACTTTCTATCTGTTTTTAAGGATCAAAAATAAATCTTTCTTAAATGGCATTAGAGTGTGGCTTTTCTCTATAATTGATAAAAGAGGAATTGTCCATTAAAATACCACATTCATCCTCTATTCTAAATGAAATGTTTGTGTTTAAATCCAGACCTCTTGGAAAAGGTCTCAAAACTGAAACTTTTAATGTCTTCTGTATCTGTTTTCAATTATACTTTTGTCAAGAACTGCCTCATTGTCTTAACCCTGTACCAATAGGAGTTTCACCATTTTACTTCAGTGAGAGCTAAGGTTCAGTAGAAAGTGGTAGACAGAGATCCTTGCCTGCAGTTGTTACCAGTTGAATTATTTCACAGTTATTACAGTCTGTCAAGCTGCTAGCTTGGCTTACAGGCCATAGTGTTTTCATGTAGAATATTAAAGGTACACATACAGCAGCCTCTGGAGTCAGCAAGAGGCAGTGCTGCACAGCAGAGTGGATGACTGGAAGACAGAACTGACATTGTGTCAAGTTCATTGTGCAAGTGGAAATTATATAAGGCTCTGAAATTCATCTTGTGCTTGAGCTATCTTGAAACCATCATGGTTTCCCTTGTTCTTGCTAAGACTAAAATATTTTCCAAAACTGGTGATATGGATTCTTTCCACATGTTAAAAAAACTGCTTGAAGTTACAGGAACCTAGGTAGCAAGTGATTTTTGCTTATTCTATTCATTAAGTCAAAATGACAGAGACTTACCAGTTCCTGGTAATTCGATGGCAAATCGTAAGTGTATGAGTAAGGGAACAGGAGCAGCTGGGAATAGGAGTGAATTGTCAAGTAGGCCTTGATTGTAGAAAGGTGTTCACGAATAAAATCAGCCAAAGCCTTGGTCTCCTTTTCAGACTCAGGTGCAGAGCCACAGTAAGTGGAAGCACAGGGGGATTTTGAGGCCCCAAGAGCTGAGAAGAAAGGTGAATTTAATGAGCACTTAATGAAGAAGTAGATTGTTAGGAGAGTCATGTTACACTACTTTTGTAGGTAAGCCTTGGAATCCTGCTAGTACACATGCCATATCAGAGGAGGGAATATTTTATGGCATAGTTAAGATGCTGGGAAACATCCCATAGCAATGAATAAATATGGTCTTTACAGTGTGCATAGTTGGAAGAGCATGAATATAGATATAAAGACCTATATTATGGGAATGTTTTGGAATATTGATTTGCTTCAATACTTAACAGTCCCCTCCTTGCACATCTTCTCCATTTCTAAGGCACTTTCACAGAACAGAGAAGTGGAAACCACTCAAAAGAGACCTCTTTTCATGAAAGCAGGCTCCTTTGGTTTCTGTTCTGAGCTCATAGCTCTGTGTGTGTTTATATGTATATATGTGTATACATGTGTGTAAATATATATACATGTTTGTGCAGGTATGTTCATAGAAGTAGCCATACTGATGATGCTAGTAGGCAAAGTTTGGCTTTTTACCCCAAAACTGCTCTATAAATTAAAGACAAGCTACTCCACAACGCTTCATTCAAGCTGAAGCTGGACCATCAGGTAGAGAAAATCCATAATTAGGTATATTGGCTATTGCACTTGTGTGTAATTACTTGTAACTCTTGTTAGGAGACACTTACTGCACCAGCCAGCATCAAAATTCCTGTTGGGATCAGTCCCATAGCAAGTGGTCCCAGCATTTTTAGAGCGTGTCTTTCTCCACATGCGGTCCTGTGACAGGATCACAGATGAAAACTATGAGTAAGTTCTGACAGTTGACTTTTCCAACAATAAGAAAGAAGAATGTACTTACATTTGTCCAAGTGTAAACGTAACCATCAATGTTAATAACAGGCAGAACATAGAAGTCCAGCTTGTCGAGAAGGGTGGTCATGGCAGTATCTTTTCCGTAGGTGTCCACAGCCTATTTGGAGACAAGCAGAAAAAGCTAATGATGCCTGCACAGATGTGCACCTCCTGTGTGTGTGTAAAGGCCCGGGTCTGGGTCAGGAATTAATGAATGTGGTAGAAAAAGTCATCCAGGCCACTCCGGTACATGAGATGGCACCCCTGTGTTATTGCATGTGCTTAGATTTGCACTGACTCAAACCACACTGCTGTTAGAAAACTGCTAAATAAATTATAAGATGAAGGAATGTTGATTTTGAACAGGAAAATAGATGACTGGAAAGAGATTTCCATCTACTAGCTTCTTGATTACAGGCAGAACAATATTGCTGTCCATATATATTCCTACATTCTAACACCTTAGAGGTTTAATTTGTGTGAGAAGGAGAAATCATTATTTCCATTTTTTTTAACCGTTGTGCAGAAATTTCATCAACAACCAGAATTATAGAGAATATTTCTAAGCATCCTAACACATTTCCAATCATAATTTTGTGGATGCATTTTTTCATAGGGAGACAGATTTTTCCCTGCACTTTCCCAGACACAGATATTGAGTAACAAACAGGAACTCTTGCAATGTCCTCTATATCCTAATTGTTCATGGTCTGCCACTTGCTATGCTTGTTCACAGATTCATATCAGTGTTGAGAGACTGCACAATGATCATGGAAATTTGCTCAAAGTTTGTTGCACCTGTGCTTTGTTTACACAGCCATTAAGGGCAACACAGGGGGTAATGCAATGGAATAAAGCATTTTCTGTCCTTTAACTGACATGTAGGAGGGTGGGATATAAAATCTAGAAAAGCAGTTTCATATCACTTGAAATTATTTTTCTTGGGTTTTATTTCATGCTTGTTTTGTTTTTTTGTTGTTGTTGCTGTCTGGGTGGGTTTCTTTTTTGAGATACCTCTAATAATCCACTTTGCTCATGTTTTTCTCTATTTTATTTTTTTTCCTTATGTCTAGAAGCAGTTCCACGTGAAATTCTGATGATACTCAGAGGTCTGCACTTTTAAAGCACTTCTGCCTATGGACACACTGAGCAGAGGCACTGCTGGTGTCAGGTGCACCCATGAATTAAGTGACCAGACAGTGAAAATGACAGCTACAGTGACGTGAATTGCTGAGAGAAAAATGGTACCACATACTGTCTGCAGCCTTATTAGGCACTAATGAAATCATATTCCCATTGACTCCACGAGATGTCACTTCCAATTTCCACTGCTCCCTACACAAAACCTCATGCCTGTCTGATAACACTGAGATTTTATACTTGCCACCAAGACCTCTGCCAGCAGAGCTGGCTCATGTAGATTGGCTTTCCTTTCCTTGGGTTTGAAATTCCAGCTGCTGCTTCTGGTGTGGTTTTATTTATTTGGTTGGTTGGTTTTGTTGGTGTTTTTTTTCTTTAATATTCTAACAGAAGTTATTAAAAAATTTGAGATTCAGTCAGTAAGTTGCTCTGCTAAATTAACTGATCTTCCCCATCTGAGGAGTAATATACCTGTCTCTGTGAAGATGACTGGGCAGCATTTGATAATCCCCACCTGCTTTATAGTGGTGGTGAGAAAGAAAATATAAAGGACATAAAATTATTTAATTCAAGACCTAAAGTATCCCAGGCTGAAGCGAAACTAATTTCCCTTGTGCAGCTCTTCCTTGAATATGGTTTCATGTTTTAGCACCTTTCTGTGCAGCCTGAGGTGGCAGCTCAAAGGGGTGTAAATGCATTTCCCTCTTCCTTAGTGGAGCTTAGGGAGTTTCATGTATAGTCTTCCTCCTTTCTTGGGTACATTTCCTCAGTGCTGAGCTGAGGGTAGGTTTCCATCCTCGCTGCTGCCTTACTGAATAAAGCTGCTCACAAGGAATCCACCACCTGGCACTGTAGCAAGTCAGCTCTTCTGAAGTGCATTCAGGTGCCTCCTGGTGTGCCCTTGAATTTTCTTATTCCTTATGTCTGTGTACAGAACGTGGCTGTGTTTATAGTGTTACTATTCCCTTTTCTCTCACCTTTCTCTGACTACAGGTGCAAAAAAAATTTACAGAGTGACCATTGCAGTTCTCAGTACCTCTTAGACATGCTTCAGGTTGTCTTAAGCTGCTGAAAGATTACAGGTCCAAGCACAAAGATCTGGTTTAAGTAGTTTCACGTTAACCCTCTGAGGTGGGAAGAAGGCATGAGCAGACACGTATTTAGAGGGAAAAAAAGCAGTGGTCTGAGCTCTTGCTCATTTAAGATTTTCTTAAGCATAGTTGCATTTTTGTAAAATATTTTTTCATCATTAAGCTTACTGACCTCTTTCACAAACCACTGGCAGAAAGCAGGGCTGATCCACTCTCTTGCATGGAAACCACAATCTATAAAGATTGCCTTCTTATTTGGATTGTTTTTTCCGACCTAGGAAAAAAAAAAACCAAAACAACAAAAACAACATCCCAGGGCTTGAACAAAATAAATTGTATGCAGAACAACTCAGTCAGCTTGCTGACCTAAAAAGTCAAACTTTTTACAAATATAACATTCCTTGTTTAAATGGAAATCTATGGAGTGCTCCCAATTGTAGCTGACCATGATATTAAAGCTTAAAAAATACTCTTAATAAGTTCATTTTTATTAATGCAGATAAGCTTCCCCCAATTATTTGATTATCCTGCACTGTTGATTTATTTCCTGTAGTGTCTCTAAAAGTAGGTTTAGCTTGTATGTTTAAATGATATATTGTTATAAATACTTATGCATTTTGGAGTAAATATTCCTTATTCTTTCACCTTTAAGTTATTGTCTTATTAATTCATAAGAGTTATGGGAAAAAAAAAAACCTCTGTGGTTTAAACCCAGCTAACAACTAAGCACAACACAGTAGCTCACTCAGACCCCCATACAAGCTACTGAAAACAAAATTAGCCCTACCCCAGTCAAAACCAGCTCAAAATTATGTATGGTGAAGATACAAATTTGATTCCTGTTGGCAGAGACTGACATTTTTAGATGCTTTTAGAGCAAATGGATTTACAAACAACAGATCGAGGGAACACAAAGGTAGATGATCATTCAAATAGCTCTAAGTAGTAAGACTGAATTTATGTCTGAACTTCTAATAATTCATTATGTCCCTTTAAAAAATATAAAATTTAAAAAAACATAATAGTAGTAAACAAAATATATTGTTTTCTGCAAAATGTCTATTACTTTAGACATTTTGTTAGCATCATTGGTGTTTTACCTAGACATCATAATCTTGCAGAGGTTAATAAGGGAAGGATCTGGCATGAAGAAATCAAGTCACTTACTTTGAGAAGGTATATCGACCGTCCTTCATATGTTTCCCCAATTACACTACGAGAGACAAGGTCTGGGTTCTGAGCAGCAATATCAGCAGTCCAAGCAGCTATCTGTTTGATAAAGAGGTTAAATCTATTGATGTCTCTGTTCCTCAGGTCCAGGTGCTCAGTCTTTCTGAGCATCTAATGTGGCCTAACATTAATACAATTTGTAGCTTTCCAAGTAGCCACTGCAAAGATGTGAAGAGTAACATGGCTGGGATTACGTCAGGAAAAATGAGCATGGCTGTGAAAAAAGGAGGAAGGGATCTTATGGTAGGACATGAAGGCCTAGAACTGAGGCAGGGAATGGATTGAGTTGTTTAGCAGAAGAGATGGGAGAAGTAGTGAAAAGGAAAGAGGAAATTAACAGTGAAGCATTTCAGCCTGGTCATTGATTTCTGCCAGAGGTTCTTTGCAGCACTGGGAGCAGAAGTAGAGGAAATAAGTGTAGGTTACACAAACTAGCTCAGTAATGAAGAGAAAGGAGTTTGAATGCATTGTTATATCAATGGATGGAGCAGAAGAGGAAAAGTAAAGAAGACTGGAAGCATTTATACCACAGAAGTGAAAGTACCAAGGTGATAATGTGGTAAATTCTAGACTTTACCGTGTCCCAGTTGTTGTACTTTTCATAGCTGTGGCTGGTGGCACGAACTTTGCTGTCAAACTGGGCATCCATTGCAGCTTGCAGGTTGTCAATCAGAACTCTGCAAGAAGGCACCATGAAAACTATGAAACATACAGCAACCCAGCAGGAAAGCAAGACATTTCAAGGTCTGCCCAGCATTTGGGCTGCAGAGATTATGAAAGGAAAGGTGGGCAGGTTGAAAATAAGATATATTAGTTTCAAGTTTCAGCCTTGTCCTGCCTCAACCTTGTCACCAGAAGGAGCAAGGAGCAATAGGCTCCTGCCAATTAGCACCTGCCTCACTCCCATGCTAACAAACCTCCAGGATGGCAACAGTTTGGTTTCAGAAAAATGGCAGTGTGTCTCAAAATGAGCTCTAGGCTGCCCTTATGTTGCCAGTTGACTCTGCCTCAATAGGAAAAGGGCCTTCTTGAACTTTTTGGCACTGGAAGAGAGTTAGACTGCAGCAACGTTTCAAAACCAGCAACCCAGAGATGTTTGCCTGATGAAATTCCCTGTCAAATCAAACTTCCAAAGGTTAGATGTGGTTTGACAGCTCTATTGCAGGTGGCATTTTCCATCCTCCAAGCTACTTTATTGCATGTGAGGTGAGCTATGAAATAGAACACACAATTGCAAAAAAACCTCAACATTCTGTCTGGATTGGTTGGATCTCTCCTGTTCATTTTTCCCTGGGAGTGACACAAAGGCACCACTTATCACTAAGCATGCTTTTGAGGATCTTTTGCTTATATTTCAACCTTGGCTATCAAAAAATGAAGTCCTCTTCTTTTTCCAGCGCCTGTCTTGAAACTCTTACAAATCTTATTAATCCAGGATATGTCCTTGATCATTTGTGATTTGGATAGAGGAACAGGAGGCCAATTTGTGAGGCACCAGCAGCCTTCAGAACAACATTGCAAGTGACATGATGTCATGGCACTGCAGCTGCACTTCAAAAGAATTTTAACAGCTTGGGTTGTCACAAGGACGATCCACTCAAGTTTGTCAGGGACAGCTTCCAGACATTCTGGCCTTTTGTTACAATCAAAAGATTTGTGCATGGACCTGAGGTAATTAATGAATATTATAGGAAAACTAACACATGTAGAGTAACCCCTTTGCTAAAGAGGAAATTCCACTGAAATGGGATTCTTGTGCTGTATGTGCTCTGTGGGATTATTGAAAACCATTTATTCTAGAGTGTTTTTAGATTCTGGTCCTGCAGAGGCATGCAAATCATACACAATTGACATGAGGCCAGTAAATTTAGGGATGGATTAACTTTGGATTTAGCAGATCATGAAAGTTATCCTGAGAACTGTGTAATGTCCAATGAAGGAGTTTGGTCTAGTAGCAACAAGAGTGGGACTGAGAGACAAAAACTTTACACTCAGCCAAATGAAATAATAAAAACTTGATCAAATTCTACTGACTTTTAGTGTCTGAGTACGTGATGCTGACAGACTATACTTTGCACATCAAAGAAGCCTGCTACTGAAGCTGGGCAGAGAAATTTTACAATGCTTAAGTGGAGTGAAAGAAGAAATGAAGACAGACAACCCCGCTCCACTCCAGCTCAAAGTCAATTTCTCATCCTCAGTTAATGCTTACACAATGATTGGAAGATATGAAGTAAAGAACAGGATCAGGCAATTCCTCATTCTCCTTATTCTTCCATTAGTGCTACTCACTGCAGTGCTTCTGTTCCCAGTGATGTGTAATGTGGCAGTGTGCTCTGTTTGCTCCACTTGTGCAGTCATATTTGATCAAGTCTCTCTTTGGAGACATCCTTGCCATTGATCTGCTATGTGATTTCAGTCAGCTCAAGGCTGTCCTGGGAATCTGTTTTCCACATTTCCTTGGCCCTTCACCTGGCAGCTGTCTTCTGTCTGTCACCTGTTGGGGTGTTTAGGCCCTCTAGCTGTTGTTCTGCAATGCAGTGGGGACCTGCTCATGGTAGCCCTTGGGGCTCACCGTTTTATTTTCTATCTTCAGTTTCCTGTCCATTTCCCTCACCTGGTGTATTTTCTGACTCTTTCTAGACCTTTGCTTCATTTTGTCTGTAGTAGGAAATATTTCTATCCCCTCCACACGCCAGCCTTGTGTATTGCAGTGAACTTTCACCTCAGGGAAAATTCTTGTACTGCATCTCTGCTTCCTGTCTCTTGCCTCTATGAACATTTCATCTCAGCCCTTCAATGCAGAGTAGTTACAGACCATTTGAACTGTCATAGGAAAGCTGAACCCAGTGGAGGCATCCACAGGAGGGATGAAGTTTGTGACAGAAAAATCAGTTGACTAATATGAAAAGTTCAAACACATCCTCCATAGTATTTAGTCCCCTTCTTCAGAGTACAGTAGTGAGGAAAAAACTTACTTATACTCCATTCCACTTTCCTTCAGAAGATCTTCAACATCAAAAGACTTCTCAGCTTCAACTCGGAAATCAACTTGCATTTTTGGCCTTATCAGTGTCACAGAGTCTGGCTTCCAAAAGTCAACCTGAAAGAAGACCAAATGAATACATAAACAAATAAATACATACATGTGGCTGTAAATACATGCATGTGGATTTTTAGATTGGGGTATGTGTGCTGATGAGGTTGTGATTAATATACTGAATTTCATGCCTGTCGTGTTACACTGATTCAGCACTGCTTCCCACAAGTATCAACCTAAATTTTAACTGGAAATTGATTTAGATTTTCTTAGGCCCTGTGTTTTATATGCCAGATTTCTGGAGATGGCAGTGCCGATTTCACAAATGTCAAGAATTCTCCAGCATCTGCATTCATACAGAATTGTGAATATTATAACTATATTTACAACTTCATTAGTTTTTGCATCTTCTTTCATTTTTTTCTGAATTTTTTGCCTACAAATCTTGGAGAGAAATTAATATCAGGGGTGAACTGTATGAGTATTTTACATAAATCGTCTGAAAAAGACTGTTGTCTGTATGAGTGCTTTTAAAAGAGATCTCTAAAGTTGATATGAGGAACCTATGCCTTTGCAGATGTTTCATTCCAAGTGGACAAACAAGTGTTATTACTACTTCACTTATTTTTGCTGAAGTAAGCATCCAAGCCTCTGGATTTAGTGCCCTGTTGAAGGCCAATGGAAACAAAGCTGGTTTACCAGCCTGATGCCATTTCACCCTTTCATCTCATGAAGGTAAAAGAAATTTGGGTTGGTTATTCACAAATTATATGCCATCAAGTGAGGTGATTGTTCCAGAGTATAAAATTACACCACTCCTGACTGGCTTCTTTGTATGACAATGGTATTTCAGGGATATTTTCTTAAAAGAAAAAGAAAGCAAACAATCCTTTGATACTTCACACTTAAAAGCAAGCATGGTATATATTAATTTTCTTAATATTGTCAGCCCCATTGCAGTAGTACGTTTTGCTACACAAAGCTGTTCCAGCATGCTGTAGTAGCCTGTTGATGATAGGTCTCCACATCTGTACTTCATTAAAAATACCATTCTTTCATCCTACAGCTAATGGTGTCTTTTTCACCAACAGCTATTTTACAACATCAAAGCTGAAGAGAAATATTGAAAACACATTTGCTGTCTTTATTGTTTTTCATCATGTCATTGTGCCATCATATATCTACATCAAGGTCAGTGAGAAACATGCCACTTAGAGAGAAAGGAAGCTTTAAAGGAAAGTCAGAGAAGAAAAGTTGACATGAGAGACTAGAGGCCAAGAGAAAATTCATTTCGCTGGGAGTATAAATTTTTGGATTATTTTCATGAGGAAAACGTTTCGCCTGTAACAGTAAAAGTTCTGGTAGTTGGACTTTCCATGATTTATCTAATACTTTCTTGAAAGCACCCCATACTGAATACAGCATTTAAGATTTATTTATTCTATTAATAAATTCTGATGGGCACTTTGACATTCAGACCGGGTAAACCTGACTTCCTTGTAAGGTATTTGAATGTTTTGTATAGCTCTACTTTTATCAATTTGTCCTATTCCTTCCAAAGAAACAATAGAGCTGACTTGAATGAAATCAAGATTAGGTTTTTAATTCACTAGCACAAGTAAAAAAGAAATCTGTTATTTGAGCAAAAGGAGAAATATTTATTTCAACTACAATGTTACCACTTCCCCCAGTCCTTTACCTCCATGATGCTGGCAAGGAAATTGAGGGTTTCCACCTGCTCATCATTCTGCGGAATCACACGAAACACCTTCTGTCTGTATGGGGAGAAAAAGATTCGATTTGAAACAGTTGAAAACCTTTGATCATGCAGAAGAAATCACAAATATAAAACCTGATGTCTGTCCTTACCTATCAAAGGAAAGATCCTGCAGGTGAGCAGAAACAGATGCAGCACCTATGAGAACCAAGAGTGCCCACATTTTTCTGAACATCTTTTCTGTTCTTTTTGTGCTTCTTCTCGTGCTGCTTTTATAACTTGTTTTGTCTTGCTTTTTATCAATTGTACGTCAGAACAACCCACTGATTAACTGATAGTTTATTCCCTTGGCCTTGTTTTATTTGCATACTATTTATAGTTTGTGTTTTCTTCTACACCTGTGAAAACAGCTGAACGTCTCACAGGGGCCTGGCTAAAGAATCTTGCTATTTGAGTGGATAAACTCTTGATATGAGAAAGTGAATTTAATTTACTTTGTTATTTTCTAATACATGTTTCTAAAACATATTGTTTTATGTGAATTTAGATTAATTTTTAATAACCTGGTTGCTGAATTACAAACTTTGTAATATTTTATTGTTACTTTATGTAATGGTATATGTCCATCAGATGTTGTTGTAGTGTGCCTGGTCTTAATCACAACATTTGTCTTCCTGAATAATATAGGTTTGACTTTGACATGTGATTGTCAAAGAGGAATCTACCAATTGGAATATATACCAATTAGCTTTTTCTTTACCCAACAGAGAAGGAAAGTACTGAATTGGTTCTTTGCTCACTTCACTGAAATGTAAGGCAGGTGTCTGCAGAACTGAAAGTGCAGAAATTTCTAGTAGCAGTAGGGTTGTACAAATACTCCATGTAATTCAGCTGCTGATTCTTATACATTCTCTAATTTCATCAGGTGTGGATTGGAGGTAAATATCTTACAGGTTGTGCAATACCGCGGGATTTACTGAGAAGATCAAATGAAATGTGGTCATACAAATGCATTTTTATCTTTAACTTTCATGTTGTGCCTACTCTGAAGGGCAGTGATGTGTTTGCATCAATGCTCTTGCATCTGTTTAGTTTTCATTAACGAGTACTTGGCATTGAATGTAACGTTAATTGTCTGTTGATTTTGTGTCCTGATGTGACTAATGTTTTTGACAGGGAGCCTCTAAATGAATCAGTGTACAGATAAATAAAAAAATGGAATTTACAAGCTCAGTTCTGTCTCCTGTTATGCCTAAGTAACCAGGCAAATTAAAGGAGTTCAGACACAGATACTCTCTCTATATATATGTGTATTACATAATATGAGAAAATTTATGAGAAAATTTACTAAGTAAAATAATATAGTTTGTCTCAGATTAGAAGATGTAGTTACAGTTTTACAGTTTCAAGGTACAGAAATTTTAATTGTCATTGAGCATTTTAAGAATGAATGTGGCATCAGACTTGACACCTAATTTTTTATTAGGTTCTCTGGAGTCAGCTCACTAAAGCAGCCTTAGATACAGAATAACTAGAAATATATTTTAAAATCAGTGTAGAGTTCATGCTTATCAACATGATCCGTAATTAATACTTTCCTAAAAGGAGAGTGAAAAAGTCTACTGGGCCTACTCATAGAAAACCGTATTTTCCAAGCCATATGATTTAAACTTAGGTTGCAATTAATGGCCTAATTTGTAGCACTGCAAGCTCCTGCCCAGTAATAATCTTACTGAGAGACAAGCCTTTGAAGACAGAGGACATCAGGAGCTGTTCTGACGGTGTCAAAACAATACTGCAAAGCCTTCAGAAGTTTTAATTTTACGGTGATGAGATCATCACTACAGATATAAGTATCAGATATCTGATCCCATGAAGACAATTGCAAACAGAATAACGTGGAGATGATTAAGCACAGATCTTGTAATGAATAAATGATCTCAAGAAGTAATCAAACAATTTGCACATGGCATTATTCCCTGTTGAGAAGCATTTTGGAAATAGAAATTGCCAGATTTCAAAGTCTGAGTTTACTTTTAATAAATTGCTTCATGCAGTTGGAGATTATGGGGTGTTTTTTTGTTTGGGTTTTTTTTCTCCAAACAATCAGTGATGCAGCATCGACTACTGAGTTGGCAAGCATCACTGAATACTGGAATTTGTAATAGCAGTTTTTGCACTTTCCATCCCAGACTACATAAAAAACAAACACTGACCTGGAATCCTACTGAAGTGATTTATTTTGCATCTCAGGATGGATATTTGTCAGCTTAGCTCATAAACTAGCTCTAAACATTGTCTTGTTCTTCTAACTGTATAGCATAAGTGTTTAATACTTGTATGATTAAGGGGCAGCATAAGGATAAATAAAATAGCAAATCAGATTTGGTTAAGCCATCTGTTCTTTTTAGCATCTGATTACAAGCCAACACCATCAGTTGGCCATGGCTGAGTAAACCTTGGCCTATCACAGAGAGCAGAGCATTACCTATATCTCTGAACAGACTTAGAAGGAAAAAATAATTTTATTGCAATGAAGGAAGTAACAAAATCCAAAAGGAGAATGTGTGGTTATTTCCTTCAGGACATGCATTTTTTTCTTATACTTAACATAACTGAAGCTAAAAACAGTATCAGCAATTGCAATTTTGTTGTAGTTGTTTGCTTTTCAGATGATTAAAAATACAGCCTTCTGTGATGTTGTCACTCACAAAGAATATTCCCTGTAAATAACTGGCTACATTCCAGCTGAAATTCATCTTTGTAGTAATTTCTTATTTCAGTTTTTGGAAGAGAATTACTCTGGTACTCCACTTTGAAAAGCATATGAAGGCTAACCACAGACTGATAAAAGGAAAAAATACACATCAATGTTAGCATTTCAGAAGCATCCTTTATCCTACGAAGTCTTTCATCCCATTTGTTATCAAACTGAGTCCAAAAGTCTGAGGGTAAATAAGGTCTGTTTCTTTGGAGTTTCAGTAGATAGAGATTTCCTGAATCCAATAGTTTGTTGATCTACATTTTTAAAAAATCCACCATCTTTTAGTTGTCAGTTCTAACAATCTCTGATTGAAAAATTTATCTTAATATTGTTGAATTTTACTATGTTCCAAAAGGTCAGCAATGTGCAAATCAACACTGCTTATGTAGCAAAGTCCTAGCATGTGCCCCAGAGCAGGCACATGTATTTGATGTATGGGCACCCTCTTATGATCATTTATTTGTTAAGGTAATATATTCTAACCTTAGTTTTGAAGAGTAATACTATTGACTGTATTCTGAAGACCTTTGAGAGTACTTTGAAGAGGCCAGGATCAGCAGAATCTGCTATCCAGCATATGATCCAAGCTTTCTTGGTACTTTCTTTTTATTTCTATATTATTAATATTGCATTTTTTAATTCATCAAAGGCTTTTTCAACTTTAGGGCCCTGGGACATGCTCACATCCTACTGTTTTGGTAGCTATGTGTGGGTATCTTCTTTTAAATTTTTTTTTCTGATTTGCAGATGCAACTTAATAGGTGAACAGGTACAGGATAAGAAGATAAAATAATAGAAGTGACGAGTTCAAAGGTATGGAGCAAAAAAAAGAGGGAGCTCTCATGGCTTTGGGATGTGTTTGTACTTTTGTTATTGACTCACCAGCTGAGAAACAGCAGAACTTATAACTTGTTATTTTATATAGTCAGTGGATTCTTGCCAATGTATCTCCTGTGAAATAAGTATAATATTTTTACTATTAACCTCTAAGAATCAGGATTGGGTGTGGTATTGAAGCTTCATTGTGTGATCCATGCACAGCTTGCTTAGGATTTAGAAAATATTTCATTACCCTAGCTAGAAGTCAAATATATAATATGCATTCAAATTCGTATTTGTTTGGAAAAAAAAAGTATGAATTATACTAAAATAGAAGCGCTGAATAAAGGTATTTGCAGTACCAGAATTCCCAGAAACCAAGCAGGGACAATATGTTTAGTGCCAAACAGAAAAAAGATGTTTAATGAAGCAATGAGAAGGACTGACCTCACACCCTTTGGTTATGGACATCTCCTTGGGTTGAGCTTTCTGTTAGTACAAGACTGTGGCCAGTTCTCACACTTGAGCCTATGCCATGATCTCTGTGAGGTTGGCAGGGTCATGGCAGGACTCAGTGACAGCTCCAGAACACACTAAAGGCTCTTCCCCTTACAAATTGAAGGCACTGAGATCAGCATGTGGTGTGAAGTGAGATCATAACTACAGCAGAATGTTCCTTCTCCAGAAAACTGCAGGAGTACGTAGACACTTAATGCTCTTACTGATAGAAGACAGCTTCAACTCCTGTCTTTGTGCAGGTTCTATCTGATGGGTCTAGGAGTTTCTCTTCTGAGGTGGATCAGCAGATCATTCACACCTATAAATATCTCCAACAAATGCCAGAACCAGTTGCTGCTGAGGTGGTGCTAGAATTATTCTGTAACAAGACACAGGAGTGTCTGCCCACTGCTGAGACCTCTCCAGGGTGTGTAATTCAGATTGTTAGCATGTTGTCTTCCTCAGTATTCCCCCAATTCCCATCACGGGCTCTACAGGGGATGAAGGTAAATCAGACTGTCAGTGTGCACTCATCCACCTCCACTTTTTACAGAAGGGTTTAGACAGACAGATGGATCTCCACTTCATCCCACTAAATATGATCCAGACAGTGATGCTCTATTGGTGTTAACCGAGCACAGCAGGATCACCTCGAGTGGGAGCAGAGGCAGATGACAGCTAACAGGAGAGTCCAGGATGCATTAAAAAAATATCAACAGGAAAGGTTCAAGGAAGAGAGTGGATTGAGTAGCTTGATTCCACCCATACTAAAATGATGTTAGGTGATTCCACCCTAACTGAAATTTCTTTTTACAGATTGCTGGGTAATTTACTGTTCTGTTTTGCTTTTTGCATGTGATGGCCTTCATGGGTGATGTAAATCATGAACATCCTGCAGAGCTTGTTTTCCATCTGCAAGCTTTACAGATCTGAAGCCTAGTGCTTAGACAGTCACCTTCAGCTCCAGATGATTTTGAAATCCAGTGCCCTTTGCTGAGAGACAGGTTATATCAGCTGGTGTTATACCTGGTCAAGGGTCAGAGTTTTACCATCTCAGAAAAACAAGACTATTTAGAAATAATAAAGTTTCCCGTTCACATCTACTGAAATAACCCAAATTCACAAGCTACAGATGAAAGTAGAACTCTACTATAATCAAATAAAACTTTGGCTAATTCTCTGGCTTCCTTCCCAACAAAACATACATGAAAAGATCAGTTAAATTAGTTCCCTTCTTACTTTCTAGATTGGAGTTAGACTTCAAAAAACATACAGCAATAAAAAAGAGGGGAAAAAAACCCCAAAATCACACTGAAAGAAGTACATTAAAAATACCAAACAAAAAAATTTCAAATAGATTCTGCACATCAATTTGTTCATTTAAAAATATATTCCTTCTTAAACAGTCTGACAGTCATTAATTGATCACAAGTATTCATAAAACTCTTCTCAAAGCAATTAATTGGAATAATAATCTCTACTTGGACAGCCTTATTAAAACATACTAATTGCAAAAATTAGTGAGAACTCACTCATTACAAGAGTATGGGGTAGCAAATTAAGTCGAATGAATTAATATTGGCACTCTTTGTTCCTCTGTGAACATGTAAGTAAACAAAACTCAAACTGAGCAGAGAACCTGTCTGACTTAAGCAATTATATTAGTTATTTGTGAGATATCATGGGGAAAAATGAACAACAAATCAAATGCATGCTACTGAGGGGTGTGGAACAAAATCTGACTGAAGTATGGATTTGTTCCTAGGTTCCTTTTATTCAAAGGAATTCAACTACAAAAGATAAAAGTGGACTTTTCAAAAAATTTATAATTTGCTATTTTTAGTAAACAGTAGGTATCACAGAACAAAGGAAAACACAGAGTGCAAACAATTTAATCTTGTCACCATAGTCAAATCTCATTTCCATTAATTTATCCAAAAATAAATTCAGTTGGACAAATATCTGTTAGACTTGTCTGAAAAAGGGCCTCAGTGATGTAAAAGAGAAGCAAGTTTCAGAGCATAAAGTGCACCATTCTTGGGAAATACTTTTGCCTGCACACATGGAAATATTAAGCATCACAGATAAGAGAGCTGCTTTAAATTCAGCATCCATATTCTTCTGTATTACACCCAGGCAACTCCAGATGTTTAAATGATTTCCCCTTTTTGCTTGGTAAAGCATGATCAAGAGAAAATATTCCCTATACCAACTTGATTTGAAACAGTTTATGAAACTAGGTTGTAATACACAAACACTGGGACTGAGCAGGTCAGTTTTAGACACAGGCCTTTTGCTACTAATTTATCTCTGCTTCTTAGTTATATTTTGGTGCACTTCTCAGCTTCCAACCCTGAAATCAGATCTACTAGGAAGGGGTGAAGGAGGAGTAAAGAGAGAGACCATGCTTTGATCCACTGCCTTCTGAAACATCACAGCTACCCGAAATCCTTGCATTTCCTGTGAATTATTTAAACCGTTTTTGGAAAGAAAAAAAAAATAGATAAGAAAAGTATTTTGATGTGGAAATGTTGCTGTAGTAGGGCTTCACAGAAATGGTAGAAAAGCATCCCAAGGCCCAGAGCTGTATTCTGCAGCCAGTATGTCACACCCGTGATGTTCTGTGACTAAGGACTCCAGCCATGGAGCTGCTCAGCTGCTGGCTGTGTGCAAGTGTCATCAGGAAGTCTGGTCCAAGAGCCTGGCCAGATAAAATAGCAATTAAAATATGGAAAATAGAATCTTTAGATATAGATATAAAAATACTATTTTTTCCCCTGTGAAACTTCATAATACCTTACCTTGAGAAGTCTCATAGTGAAAGGTGATGTTTCTTCCCTGTTGTGGTTAGCTGATTTTTACTATTATGCATCTTCTAGAAGAGTTGGGGAATCTTTTCCTCTTGGTTTCCTGCCAAAGATTTTCCTACCTTAGCAAAGTTGCCTCTTGGTTTATTCAGTATGTTGCTCACATTTGATTGTTTTCTCACTGGAAGGCTTAGAATATGTGAAGTTTGGGATTTTGCTTGGTTTTGATTCATAAAGTTTTTAATTAAATATAGTGCTTCCTTAATGCTGTTTTTGTCCCAATGTATTTTCTGAATTAGGTGAATTGCTGAAACTTCTCTCAAGTTTGAAGAACCTGGTAATTGTTATCCAATGAGGAAAATGAGAACAGGTCATGATGTTCAATACCACCCTGTCACTGAATAACAAGCTTCTGGAACCTGAACTAAGAGATTTTGTCATGCAACAAAAATGACTACTTTGGCTTACTAGAAATAATTCTGGATCAAGTTAAGGATTTATGCAGAAGAAAAGGTGAGAGAATGTTCTCTTCATCAACCTTCTCCTTCATTATGCTCTTAGATGTGACCCTAACATCCACAATAGTTAGATTTGTGGTGTATCTAACTTACATTTCAATAAATTCTGATGGCTTGAGTGGTGCGTGGGTGGAGGGTGGATCACTTTGTTCAAGGCAGATTTGTCACATTTTGCATGGGAATTGATTGGAAGAAAGACCATTCATTTTAAACCATTTTGTGTCACTTCTTTGAAGATCATTCTTGTCTCTTCATAGCCACAAAAGAAAGGAAGCACCTGCTTGTACTTTCTCCTCACACACCTATTAGGAAAGCAAATCCTGCTTTAGTCATCGATACCACTTTAGTCACTTTGTTGTAGTTGCACAGGAATGTGTAAAGGCTGTTTTACTTCTACTTTTCCTTCAGGACCAAAGAACCACAGAAAACAGTGGGAACAGAGATTGGAAGTTAGAGTATTCCAGACCTACTAAGAAAAAACAGCATAATGAAAACTGAAGACCTTGGATGATAATAAAATAACTGGGCTGGTAAAAACTCAACTGATGGAGCTCTCATGTGGAACATATTGTGTCTACAATGTTACAGGTCATTTCCTTTGCCTTTCTCTATAAACGTGCTATTCAAATTGGTTTCAAGTTGGTCCAGCTGCTTCAAGCCCAGTGTATTTAAAGCATTTTCATATGACAGATAACCAGCAGCTGTTGTCGGAAAATGGACAAAGTAAAGGGTGGCGTGGCTTGGGAGGATGAACCTGTGCTTCCAGGCAAAAAATCTTCCTCAATATTTTGCTCCTCTATGAGTTTTTCATTGCAAAGGCTGGGTCAGTGTCACTAAGAGGCTTCTTTCTTTTCAGATACAGCTCTAGGAAATGTAGCAAAGGCAGAAGAAACAGAGATCCTGGTGGACTCTGGTCAAGGCACTGAATGACGGAGAAAATCTGTTCTTAATCTCTCTGGAATTGTTCTCTCTGTTAAAGAAGATGCTGTCATTTGTTAATCCTGGCTCTGATTTATTCCTACCCATAGAAGTATTTTGTACTGAAGATGTGGCAATGGCATATGTGGCAATACACATACCTCTGTTCCAGAGGCAATCCAATCCATTTAACTGTGTCCTATCTCTGATCTCTTTGATTCAGACTTTTTTTTTCAACCTTTTTTCCCCCCTTGAAACACAATTTAGTTATAATATAGGAAAGCTACACTTTTAATGACTAAAAGAAATATAATTTTCCTTTCTTTTGATTCTTGTCTAAGATATTCCATGCTTGTCCTGAGAAGGAGAGAAAAACACCACAATTTATTTAACTGGCAACATAACATGCATATTTTGTATTCAAATCCATCAAGATACATACTGCTTTAAATTTATTGCCATTTTGATCCTACAAGTTCCACAAAAAATTTTCTTGTAGCTGTCAAATACATGTACTTTGATCTACTTCATTGCTTCAAAGTTTGAAATGCACTCAGAGCTTTTCAAGGAATTTTGAAAAACAATTATTGAAAAGAGTAATTATGAAAGAAGTAATTTTCTCACTGATGTTATTTTTCTATAATTGAGAGTTAGGCAGTAAGAGCCTAAGTGTTTCTCTCTATTTTTTTCCCCTCAGTGTAATCCAGAAAAAAATTTGATTTATAAAATTTTTCATTTTTAATTCACTCTGCCCCGAGGAACTGCAGTCAGGTAGAAGGCTGAAGACAGTGCAAAGAATTAAACTTATATATGGAAACAAATATAAACAACCTGACAAACACAAAGTATTAAAAAAACTCCATAAAAATCTGCATTTCAAATAGGCTTACACCACTAGTTCTTAAGCTTGTGGCTAAGGCCGCATGGTTAGAGAAGGTGCCCTGAGAAGTGCACCTTGAGTATTTTATATCTCTCCACTCAGAAATTGTGCTGACCTTCATAATTTTCTAGCATTACAGAAGTGGTAGTTTTCCAATTAGTTACATGGATAGAGGGTTTAAATATAGTTATACTTCTTTTAATGCCAGGAAAGTGTCTGCTTCCTGGAGAACCCTTTTTGAGACGTGCTCAAAGTGAGGTCCCCCTCCAATACAGCCACAGTGATACAAATACAGGGAGCTCTTTGCAGGGAGCTGTGTAATGTTACAAGCTGGCTTCTTTTTTAAGTTGCATTGGTATTATTTCAGGTACTTACTAATTTAATTTTCCATTTGTAAAAAATTGCATATTCATTAAATAGCTGTTTAAGGATTATGATCTTTTAGGAAAAATGTAATAATTTTGTTATGAAGTAGCCCAGTGCTGACAAAAAAGTAATTTTTTTGCTTAAAACTAAAAATTGAAGTTCTCTAAATCACAGAAGTGAAATCTTGATAACTTTTACTCTTCTTTTTTTTGTCTTAGCTCTTCTGAAGTCTTGTTCCAATATCATTCAGAAGTTAAATCTCTTGGACTATTGTTTTTAGCTCTTGCATGGATCCCGAATGGAATGATTTCTCACTTGTTTGCCGTCTAAATCAATTTTTTTAAGGCTGGAGAAGAGGAGGGAGTTATATTTGACTTATACAGTCAAAGAACTCATGGATTTTATAATCTAACCCCATGTTTCATTGGAAGTTTTGAAAGATTTTTGTATTTTTTTCAGGTCTCTGGTATCAAGGTTTCCAAGGGGAAAATGATGAGCCTTGTAAAACACATATGTTCACAGTACATATGGTTCATCATAAATATGTCACTCATGGCTCTTTCAGAATTTACAATAACAGCATAAAGCAGAGGCTCTCCTGCTATCTTTGAACTGCATATCCTGATATTAATGTTTGAGGGCTGTTTGGGGGGAGAGACTGCAAGTTCTGAGAGTCAAAAGTAGTTCAAGAACATCGATTTTAAATGGTTTCCTTTGAAACAACACCTATGGTAGAGGAATACCATCCCATTGGACAAGAAACCAAAAAACATTGTGCTGAAATTGTGCTGAAGCTCTGCCAAGGCCTTTTCTAATCCTTCCAAGCTTATCACAGGCTGTATTTGTCTGCTATGAATTATAGTCAGTATCACGATCTGCAGCCTTAGCACAAGGCCAGCACTGTTTGCAGTGGAAGGCAGGGGTTTTGCCCGCTGGTTTGAATTGCAGCAAGAAATGAGGAAGCTGATGTCTAACAACTGAATTATTTCATCAGCTCATCCTCTGCCTCAGAAGTGTCTCTAAACCCATAGAAAGTTCTGACCAATTAGTTAGTCCATGGCTTTGTTCCAAAGCTGGATAATCTGTGCCATTCCTGATAGGTATCCAAACTATCTTTTCTTAAAATTTTCCAGTGCTAAGGTACCAACATTTCTTCATATGTGTGTTGCAAAATAAGTGGTTATACTTGGAAAAAGCTGTTTATGAATAGATTAAACTGATTGAACTTTGAAATATGGAACCCAAGTCTGATTTCTTGCCTAATGAGCCAAGAAGAAAATGGTGAAGGAGTGTAGCTGCAAGTTCAGGGTGCCAATACAATACCCCATTTGACATTACTCCTCTAAGGGGATTTATCAGGTTTGGTTTAGACCAAACCTGTCTGCAGTGCACATTTCTTTCCTACCTGTTTTTTAATGCTTGTCAGGTGGACTGCCTAGGTTTGGGGAAAACTTTTAAATCACCTTAAATATTCATCAAAGCTCAAACTTATCCCTAGATGAGACTGAATCTTAAAAAGCAGACAGATGCTAAAATGAGACTGAAATTATTTTGACAATCCTAACCAGTCATTATGAATTCTGATGTGGGATTTGTGGAGGATGCAATGCTAGTATTGAGTAAGCTTGAGTGGAAAACTTTTACATCCTGATCTCTGCTACAGCTCCCCCCAAGGACCCAGAGACCACTGCCAGAGTAACCTCAAACCTCTCAGTGCTCTTCTTTTGGGCTTGGTGAGGGACACCTGGGTGGGACACAGCATGGGATGGACAAGCAGGGCCATGGAGATAGAGCCAGGCTGGGACAGAACCAGAGCTCAGTGTCCATCAGCATCACTGGGGCTGGGCTGCAATGGGCTGGGCAGGGTGGGAAGCCCTCAGATGCTGTTCATCAGGCTCATTGAGGCACAGAGGGGTCCTCAGAGGCTGGGATGAGTCCTGGAGGAGTGTGGCAGCAGAATGTGTGTGCCCTGCTGTGGCATCTCCAGGAGCCAGCTGGGAAGGGCAGCACCCAGGAACCCTCCCTCGAAAGATTGGGCACCCCTGCTCGGGCTGGGGTCTCTGTGAGCCCTGTGCTGGGTGGGGAACAAAGTCTTTGTGCTGTGAGAGACCGATGAAAATGCTTCTCCTTCAGTGGGACCATGACCACAGCCTCAGCAGCCCCTGGGCACCTCAGAGCGAGAGGACAGCGCTGTGCTCTGGGGCAAGCTGGGGGTGGAGTGGGCTCTGACATGACAGAATCTCAGCGAGCTCCCTGTGCTGGTGGCAGCTGATGGATGGAGTGAGCAGACACTCTTACCTGGTGTTCTGCTGCTCAGTGTCCTGGTGAAAGGCAAACACGAGCTCTGAGCTGCACTCCTGCAGGGAAGCTCTGATGTGGCTGAGTTTGTCTGTGCAAATGTAAGGATTTATATAGCAAGGATTGTGCTTGTTGGGCCAGGAAAGCACGGACGTGGCCAAATCCTGATTTCAACTGCATGTGCAGAGCTCCTAAGGCAGCAAGGCTTCATGGTGGCTCAGCACTTGGCCTAATGAGGGCTTGCATGATTGCAAATAATGTGCGTGGCACACTGGAGAGCAAGCAAACAACTGTTCCCTTGTCACTGTGCTCTGCTCTGCAGCATCTGTTTTGCTTCATCATTTTTTAAAAGAAAGCCACAAATATTTTTCACTAGGGAGTTGATAAATAACAGTGCTTACATTTAAAAAAAATTTAGTGGGGATAAAAGTAAATCTCCTAGTGTATAAAATCCTTGTGCTTTGATTTTAGTATTAATTCACAGATTGTCTTGTATTATGTTGTTCTTAGCTCAGTAAATCCTATGGGGTTTTCTCCCTCAGGAAATCACATGGGGTGATGTCTTAGTGTGATTTATTTTTATTTCTTTCTCTAAGTTTGCAGAGAATTGTCTTTCACAGCAGCATTTTTACATGAAGATTTGTATTCCTTGGAAAATTTGGCAAACTGGGGCGTATTTAATAATTTGTCAATGAAACTTTAAATGAAATTTGTTGCAACTTTGTGGATACACATGATGAGTGTGATGTGGTAAACTAAGTAGATATTTTAAAGGGATGTATTCAAAAGATTATATCACATTTTTTTTTCATTCCTAACCAGCCTTCTGAGAGGAAATGTGTCCTAGCAAATGGCAGACTACATGTATGTACAGAAACAGGGCTAGCCTAAAATTGAGTTTTAGTATTTCTATAATGCTTTGTTGTCTTTCTTGTCTGCATAACGTTTAATTTTAAGATTAGACATAATGAGGAGGTCAGCGACAAAGCAGGGGAAACAGTGTTCACATGTGAAATGGAAGAGAGACGTCTGAGCTCTCTGAGATAGAGGGGCTCCCTCTCTGTCAACTCTGTGCTCTCACTTGGAAAAGCTGAACAGGAAAACCCCACTTCTAGAAGCTTGTGGCATAAGCACAGGAAGGTGCTCACCTCTCCTGGAGAGAGGAAGTGGTCTGTCATAATTACGTGTTTGATAGATGCATCTGCTTGCTTGGTTGGAGTGGGAACTGCTCCATCTTTACCTTCCTTTATGGTTACACGCTGATGGTGAGCTTGGCAGTGGTGTTTGGAATGAGCTGTTGTGTGTCTAAAGTTTTGAGCCTTTTTTTGTTATAGGGTTAGGATTGGACCTTTCCAAGTTTATTGAAATACTGTGATTAGGTTGAAGACAAGATTCAAATTACATTAGGGAATCCCAAGACAGAGAACCTTCTTTGTGAAACAAAAGAAAACAAAATAGAAAGGGCTATACCTAAATAAAGAGAAGAGTATGTGAAATGGAGAAGAAAAACAGACCCTGAGAACTGAGCTTTTTCTAATGAGAAAACAATTGTAGTAAATGCAGCCCTTACATGCACAACCCCTGCCCCTAAACCCCCAAACCAAATAGACATGCAAAAATCAACAGAACACACATTCCCCTCCTCCCGTTTCACTGACAATTTCGCAATATTGCTGTTCTGCATTAAGTAGTTATGGCAGTATTGCAATTAATTGCTGCAGGGATATTTTCTGATTTTTGAATAGGTGATGGGAAAAGAATGTGATGATGGGTCTG